TGTTCACCTTCTGAAGCGCTCGCTCGTCACCGTGGCGTGCGCGATGACCACCACCACCACCACAACCACCACCACCACGTGACTTTTTTTTCGTATTGTGCGCGGTACATTTAGCGCCACAGCGCGTGGATTTGTAGCGTTTATTTGTTTGGCTGGTGACTTTGTGTATTTCATATCGGAATCGCCTCCAGTGCTGTTGCTGCTGGCGGCAATATAAGTTGTTTAAAAGTCTCTCCCGCTCTTCTGCTGTCTCTCCCACTCTCTCTCTCCCGCTCTCTTTCTCTCCCGCTCTGCGGCGCCAGTGTTCAGGGGCCTACTCAAGGCGCGGCTCCGGCTGGAGCATGCCACGTACCGCTCGCACGCCGGTGACGCGCCCCACATCTTCTTCGAACGCCGGAGGGGCCGGAAAAGCCCTCTCTGCGCCGGTGCGAACGGCACCCTCCTTGCAGAGGTCACAACCGGGTACCCGATACCCGTACCCTACCCGATAACCGGCTACCCGTACCCGGCAGGGTACGGGTACGGGTACCCGTTTGCGACCCTGGTGCGGCCGGGTACGGGTAGGCCGTGAGTCACTGGTGAGTAACCGTTTGTCACTCATTTCCCAACGTCTTGTCATTCTTATCACAATTCAAGTTCCTAAAATCAACCCACCCGCGCCTGCAACATGGCTTCATCCCAGAGGTCGCAATCGGGTACCCGTACCCTACCCGTAACCTACGGCCGGGTACGGGTAGGGTACGGGTACGGCCGGGTACGGGTACCCGTTTGCGACACTGGTGCGGCCGGGTACGGGTACGGGTAGGCCATGAGTCACTGGTGAGTAACCGTTTGTCACTCATTTCCCAACGTCTTGTCATTCTTATCACAATTCAAGTTCCTAAAATCAACCCACCCGCGCCTGCAACATGGCTTCATCCCAGAGGTCGCAATCGGGTACCCGTACCCTACCCATAACCTACGGCCGGGTACGGGTAGGGTACGGGTACGGCCGGGTACGGGTACCCGTTTGCGACACTGGTGCGGCCGGGTACGGGTACGGGTAGGCCATGAGTCACTGGTGAGTGACCGTTTGTCACTCGTTTCCCAACGTCTTGTCTCTTCTCACAATTCAAGTTCCTAGAATCAACCCACCCGCGCCTGCAACGTGGCTTCATCCCAGAGGTCGCAATCAGGTACCCGATACCCGTACCCTACCCGTACCCGGCCGGGTACGGGTAGGGTACGGGTACGGCCGGGTACGGGTACCCGTTTGCGACTCTGGTGCGGCCGGGTACGGGTAAGGAATCAAAACCCGTTTGCGACCTCTGCCTCCTTGTCACCTTGTCACGTGCTCGGTCGTTGTGGGCGTGGCTTGCGCGACGACGACGACCACCACCACGTGACGCTTTTGTGCCGTGCGTGTCGCGCGTCCAGCGCCACGTGCCGCAGGGCGTGGCTTCTTTTTTTTTGGCCGTGGCGGGTGGTGGCGGGTTTCACGACACAACGTTTATATATTTACGCGCTCTAACCCAATACAACCTCTATTAGCGATATTGGTCACGAAAACTAAATCAACCCATACGGTTTACCCCGGATTCTTGTACAGGGGAAATTGAGTTTTCAGGTGCACACGGCGTACAGCCGTTTCAATACGGGGCAAAATAAATGTTTTTGTCTATTTGTTTGTGTTTCTCCCGTGTGACGGGACTTTGTAGGATGAACGTTGAAGATTTATGAGGGGCACGGGGTGACCAATGAGGTCTGAATTGGTCTGCAATAAGGTAGGGCACTGATAAGGGGTTGACAGCTATGTGAGTGTGTGGGTGAGTAAGTGTGTGGGTGAGTGGTAGTCTGGCAAAAACAACCCCCTACCTCCTCGTGGTGCTGGACGGCAACGCTGTGGTGGGCAGTGCCGTGTGGGGAGGGCCAACTTAGATTGGCTTTTCCCTTTATGGCGTTTGTAACAACCACAGCGGCCAAATGGGGGCTCTGGATGGGTGCGAGGGGCTGGTAACCCCTCCACCTTCAATTAACTACCACTAACCTACGGGGTAAAACACGTATTAAGCTTGTGCCGGAGGCCCCGGCGGGACAGGTGTCTATGACGTCTCCTGGCCAAACCCCATTTGGCGGAGCCACGAGACTGAATCCTTACCATTGGGGCACCTCCAGAAACAACAAAAAGCCACTACACGGATGGCCACGTGAAATGTTCGAACGCTCATTTCGGAGGAGAGGCTGCCACTCCTCTGTCGGGAGCTGGACCGGTACCGCCTGAATCTCTTTGGTATTCAGTAGGTCCGGTGGACCGGCTCTGGCTCCTGCCACCATGAGGGGTGGACAGTATGCTACTCGGGGCAGGAGACTGCCAAACAACAGGGAGTGGCTCTTCTTCTGAACAAAAGAATGAAGGGGGCGTGGGAGTGTGGCGGTGAGGTGTGGGAAGCTGTAAGCCCCAGGCTACTTTGTGCTCGCCTTCCCATCCACCAGAGATGAGGAGTGGTAGTCGTGGTTACTTATGCCCCCACAGAAGACGAATATCCGTGGAGGGATGCAGGCAAGGCCGATGAGTCAGATGCCATCTATGACCTCCTGTCACAGGTGCTGGCTAAAGTGGCCACTCGGGACAGAGTCATCTTGTTTGGTGACTTCAATGCTTGAGTTGGTCATGATGCTAGCACCTGGTCTGGAGTGATTGGAAAACATGGGCCAGATCAGCTCAATAACAACGGTAGGAGGCTGCTAGATTTTTGTGCAGCCCATGGGCTTGTAATTACCAACACACTGATCCGGCATTGGCGCATCCACACATCATGGATGCATGCTGGGTCCAAGCAAAAACATCTGCTGGATTACATAGTGACGGAACAGTGGATGCAGGGCCCATGTCCTTGACACCAGGACCTACCGTGGAGCTGATCTGCCCACTGACCATCCACTTGTCATCTGTAAGATGTGCCGGCCATTCTTCCACTCCGGTGGTGGGTGTATACCCAGGACCCCATTCAAACCCAAAGTGGCATGGTCTCAGCTCGCTGATGAAAGTTGCAAGCGAGAATTTCATCATCGCTTGCGGCTGGGGTTGGCATCATCCCCCACTCCTCCTGATGTCGAGGGGAAATAGGCGAAGTTTAGGACTGTGGCTCATGCAGCGACAATGGCTGCTTTGGGTACACAGTACAGACCTCCCCAGAGAACCTGGCTGACAGAGGTGTTCAGGCTGGCTGAGAAAAAGTGACAGGCCCACTCTCATCGTCTACAGCATCTCACGTCAGATAATGAGGCTTACCGCACGCAGCCTTCGCTCGAAGGTTCGGAAAGCCGTGAGGTGCTTCAAGGATGGGTGGTGGTCGTGAGTTGCTGAGGAGATGGAGTCTGCCTCAATGGCCCGCGATCACAAATCACTCTTTAATTCCATGAAAAAAAAGGAATCTGCAGCGCCACACCCATTACCATCATTAGGGCAAAGAAGGGTGATCCAATCTCTGACCCCCAGGAAGAGGTTTGCAGATTGACTGAACATTTCTGTGAGGTGCTGGGGGAGGGGAAATCCGTCAGCTTGGAAAGCGTGGGACAAAGTGCGAATGACCCTACTGAGGCTGCGGTGCCTCAAATATTGGAAGAATTTACCCCTTGTGAGTGGCTGGCTGAGATGCCATCTATTGAGGAAGTACTGAAGGTGATCCAAAGCCTGAGATAGAGATGATCTTCCAAGCGAAATGCCGAGGGAGGGTGGCGTTTGTGCACAGACTGGCCTACATGACATCATAACAACAGTCTGGACCACTGGACGGGTTCCGCAGGATTGGAAGGATGCCCTGGTGGTCCACCTCTTTAAGAAGGGGGACCAGACAGACTGTAACAACTACAGGGGCATCTCACTCCTCAGTGTGTCGGTAAAGGTCCTGGCAAGGATTATTCAACGTCGCCTTGCTAGGCACGCTGAGGAGAGGCTTGCGGAGCCCCAATGCGGTTTCAGGAAAGGGCGGTCCTGCACAGATGCCATGTGGAGCTGAGCGGACTTGCCGGTGACTGGTACCAGCGGTGTCAAGATCGGCCTCTGTGAAAGAGGCTCGTGAAGGACGCTACTGGGCAGTTGGAGGCAGTCGCCCTCCAACAACAATGAAGGAGGGGAGGAGCGACGTTCACAACAACGAGCGGGGCGCCGGGTGGCTAAAGCACAGCAAGTTGGCACAGTAGGGGGCACAAGTGGTGCATCAGCCAGTCATCTCGGTCATCTCAGTCAGTCGACCCGTGGCACCTGCTGGGTCTGCCCTGTGACCTCCTGCCAGCGGGCGTTCGACACTTCACGTGGCCTCAACGTGCACATGGCCTGGCACAAGCGTCGCGGTGACGTCACCGCCACTTAGTGGCGAATGGCGGTTGTTGTTGGGTAAGTGGTCCGCAATGAGGTAGGGCACCGAGCGAGATTCGGCTGTGCCGCGTGGCTCAGCCGAATCTCCCCAGGGGCACGGCGCTCTTGAGTGCGTTGCTTGCGGAGGAGCCAGGGAAGATCTCAACGCCCACGTGTTGCGGCTTTTCGTCGGCTCCATTTCCCGGAGACCGGAGGTGCCCTTCTTACAAAAGCAAGTTTCACGCACGTGGTGGGGGTACGGGGGGGACGGTGCCTTATCTGGCTAATCAGCGCCATGGATCCTGCACTCTTCGTCTGTGCCCAAGCAAAGATGGCACAGCTCGGAAGACCGGCGAGGGAAAGGATGGGGAAGACTAAAAAAGATGCCGCAAGGCGACGCTTACGGCACTGACGACATTGACGGCTACTCTGTGGTGCCAATGTCGAGGCAGTGGGGGGGGGGGGGGGCTGCTCAGGGCGCGGCTCAGAGGTCGCAACCGGGTACCCAATACCCGTACCCTACTCGATACTCGGCTACCCGTACCCGTACCCAGCCGGGTACGGGTACGGGTACCCGTTTGCGACCCTGGTGCGGCCGGGTACGGGTACGGGTACGGGTAGGCCGTGAGTCACTGGTGAGTAACCGTTTGTCACTCATTTCCCAACGTCTTGTCTCTTCTCACAATTCAAATTCCTAGACTCAACCCACCCGCGCCTGCAACATGGCTTAATCCCAGAGGTCGCAATCGGGTACCCGATACCCGTACCCTACCCGTACCCGGCCGGGTATCGGGTAGGGTACGGGTATCGGGTACCCGGTTGCGACCCTAGTGCGGCCGGGTACGGGAACGGGTAAGGAATCAAAACCCGTTTGCGACCTCTGGCACGGCTCTCCTGCCGGAGCACGTGACCCGCTCCGGCGACGCGAGTTTCGTATCGACGTCGGGCTCCAGTGCTCTTTGCTGCTGGCAGCAATGAAATGTGGCTTAAACAGTTAAAGAAACGCATCTCCGCCTTTCTAGATTTGAAGCTTTCGTGACTGCAAGGATTCATATTCTGAGGTTTTTTCGGTAAAGTCACCACGTAGGTAAAAAATTAAAATTAATAAAAGTAAAATAAAAATAAAATAAAAATCACGACGTTTCGGAGGCAACACAAGCTTCCGTCTTCAGGTGGAACCGTCACAGCACGATAGCTGTATTAATTTATTTTTTTTACCTACGTGACTTTACCGAAAAAACCTAAAAATACGTCTCTCCCTCTCTCTCTCTCTCCCTCTGTGCTTCCAGTGTTCAGGGGCCTGCTCAAGGCGCGGCTCCGGCTGGAGCACGCCATGTACCACACATATGTCGGTGATGTGCAGCGTCTTCTTCTCTGTGTCTCTGTCTCTCTGTGTCTCTGTCTCTCTCTGTGTCTCTGTCTCTCTCTGTGTCTCTGTCTCTCTCTCTGTGTCTCTGTCTCTCTCTGTGTGTCTCTGTCTCTCTCTGTGTCTCTGTCTCTCTCTGCTCAAGGCGCGGCTCCGGCTGGAGCACGCCATGTACCACACACATGTCGGTGATGTGCACGTCTTCTTCGAACGCTGGGGGGCTGGAAAAGACCTTCTCTGTACCAGCGTGGACGGCACCCTCGTGGTGTTCACCTTCTGATGAAGCGCTCGCTCGTCACCGTGGCGTGCGCGATGACCACCACCACTGCCACCACCACCACAACCACCACCACCACAACCACCACCACCACCACGTGACTTTTCTTTCGTGTTGTTCGCGGTGCTTTTAGCGCCACGGCGCGTGGATTTGTAGCGTTTATTTTCATTTGTGTTGCTGGTGACTTTGTGTGTTTCGTATCGAAATCACCTCCAGTGCTGTTGCTGCTGGCGGCAATAAAAGTTTTTTAAAAGTCAAGTCTCTCTCTTTTTTTTTTTACGATCAGTGGAAACAAGAAGATGCTCGGTGTAGTCGGCACTTTGCTTCGTTCATCATTTCGTAAAATGTTTTAAACTTTGCTTTATGTAAACCCCCACCTCTCGCTCACTCTCTCGCTCGCTCTCTCGCTCACTCCCTCGCTCACCCCCTCGCTCACCCCCTCGCTCACCCCCTCGCTCACCCCCTCGCTCACCCCCTCGCTCACCCCCTCGCTCACCCTCTCGCTCACCCCCTGCTTCTCTCCTCGCTCACCCCCTCCATCACTCTCGCTCACTCTCTCGCTCGATCCCTCGCTCGCTCTCTCGCTCACTCCCTCGCTCACCCCCTCGCTCACCCCCTCGCTCACCCCCTCGCTCACCCCCTCGCTCACCCCCTCGCTCACCCCCTCGCTCACCCCCTCGCTCACCCTCTCGCTCACCCCCTGCTTCTCTCCTCGCTCACCCC